AAGGAGTAGTAGTAGTACTAGTAGTAGTAGTAGTAGTGGTAGTAGTAGTAGTAGTAGTAGTAGTGGTAGTAGTAGTAGTAGTGGTGGGAGTAGTAGTAGTCGTAGTAATGGTCGTTGTCGTAGTAGAAGTAGCAGTAGCTGTATGTTTAGGAGTAGTCGCAGTGGGGGTCGAAGTAGCAGTATTAGTAGTAGTTCGTAGTAGTTTGCAGTAGTAGTGGTAGTAGTAGTAGTAGTAGTAGTAGTAGTAGTAGTAGTAGTAGTAGTAGTAGTAGTAGTAGTAATAGTAGTAGTAGTAGTAGTAGTAGTAGTAGTAGTGTAGTAGAGTGGGGTAGTGGTGGTAGTAGTAAGTAGTAGTAGTAGCAGCAGTAAGCAGGAGTAGCAGCAGCAGTAGTTTTTAGTAGTAATAGTCGTAGTCGTACTATTAGTAGTAGTATAGTAGTCGTAGTGGTGGTAGTAGTAGTAGTAGTAGTAGTAGTAGTAGTAGTATAGACGAAGTCGAAGTCGTAGTCATAGGTGTATGGGGGCGACATTTTGAGATTCTTCAAAATTTATATATATATATATATATATATATATATAATATATCTATAATAACCCTGGGGGCGAGGCTGGGGGCCCCAGGACAGGTGCCTCGACCCCGCATGGCGGGACGGGGGGGGCCTGGAACCTCCCTGGAGCCCAAAGAGGCCCCCAAGACGCTCCAAGAGGCTTCCAAGAGGCCCCCCCAGAGGGCCCCAAGAGGCCAAAATCGCTAATTTTACTAAGGTTTTGGACACATGTTGCATTTCCCGCCTTTTCAGCTTTCCGACGCTCCACGACGGCTCGAAGGCCCCCCGCGGACGCCCCAAGACAGCCCAAGAGGCCTCCAAGAGGGCCTCAAGACGGCTCTGGAGGGCCCCAAGACGGCCCAAGACGCGCCCAAGACGGGCGAAGAGAGGCCCAAGACGGCCCCAAGAGGGGAACCGCGAACCGGAAATTCTAGCCTCCCGCCTCCACAGGGCCCCGGGAGGCCCCAAAGGGGCCCCAAGAGGCCCCAGGAGACCCCCAAGAGGGACCAAGGAGGCCCAAACAAGGCTTCAAGAGGCTTTCAAACAGCCCCGAGGAACCTCACAACGGACGGTGCGGACGAGCCGCAGTTCGGACCGCCGCCGCAGCCGGTCCAAGAGAACGGCCTCCTGGACGCCATGCGCGCCGTGTCCCTCCTGCGGTGGCGCTTCCCGCCCCGGGCCAGCGCAGGGGCCCTCGGATCCCAGAGAGAATTCTCCGTCGTCGGCGGTGTCGCCGTCGTCGGCGTCGTCGTCGTCGGCGCCGTCCCCGCCCCGGTCGCCCCTCGGGTCTTGGGCCGTCTTGGGCGGTTTGGGGGCTGTCTGCGGACCATCTTCGGCTGCCTGGGGGCCTCTTGGAGGCCTCTTGGGGGCCTGTAGGGGGCCCCTTGGAGCATTCTGGATGCTTTGGGGAGCCTTCTTGGGGTCTCCTAGGGCTCTCTTTGGGGAGGAAGGCTGG